CCCGCCTCTGGAGGCACTAGCGGCTGGGCGCGAGACTCGCGCACCCCCGCACCACCCCCCTCCCGGCGGCTGATGGCCTTGATTAGAGGCGCCGGAGATAGATAGCGCCATAGCTGTGCGTCAGCCCGCGATCTTGCGGGAGCCCCGACGCTGGTGGCACCAGTCGGCAGTTGGGCACGCGCGGCCGCACGCATGAGCGGGTGCGTGTGCCTCTGTGTATGTGTGTGTGTCTGTGGAGCACACACCTGCGCACTGGCCCTCTTGCGCGTGGCCACGGCCCGCGGCCCCCCGCCCCGGGGGGATGGGGCCCGAGTTCCACCTGGGTCCCTCCCCCCACAATGGCCCCGATCACTTGGGCGAAAATTGCCTGCTTCCTTGCACGAGTCATGCTTCTCCCCCTGGACGGGTAGTTCGGTCGAGTGGCCCGCCGCCCGGGTCGGTGTCAACAAGGCGGGCGGGGGGGCGGGGGGGCTCTCATGCGCAATACATCCAGTGGGGGCTACCGCCTGGATGCCCCCCCCCCCCTGGTGCCCCGAGGGAAGGGGTCTCCCCACGCGATCTCGCCCCCCCCCCCCCCACAGGGAGGCCCGGGGGGTCAGCATCCAGGGGCAGGAGCACAGGGGGCAGAGAGACTGCCAGGCACATAAATGAGGGGGCGTGTGTGTATGTGTATAGGGCGAGGGGAAGGTCTAGGTGAATGTTGGCCGCGGCGGTGCCCGCGCCGGCGCCGGCGCCGGTCCGCCAGCCCATCGACCCGGCGGCCCCCCCCCCCCCCAGGCTAGGCCTGACAAACCAAAGGGCCCGATCGCGTGGCTACACGCACCTCCTTCTCTCGGGGCCTCCCATGCCCGGCCTACTGCGCGGGCACCGCGCTCCGCGCCACCCGCCTCGGCCTTCCCCGAAGACCCCCTGCCAGGCCAGCTGGCTGCCACGGATGGCGCCCCCCTTCCCGGGGGGAAAGTGAAGGCAGGGGCCGGGGCACTAGGACGACCTCATGCCGCCTCCGGCCTCGCCAGGGCTCTGTCTGTCTCCGCGCCTCTCTCCCTCTCCCTCTTTCTCGCTCTCCCTCTATCCATCTATCTCTCTCTCTCTGTCCGGCCCTAGGTTGCCTGTTCTGATCAGAAAGTGATCTATTGCCTGACGCCTGGCCCGGGCAGCCCGCATGCACCCTCAACGCAGCTCCTCTGACTGTGGATTCTCCCCTCGCCTTTGCCCCCGCTCCTCCCTCCACGCCCCTCCTCCACGCCCCTCCCCCACGCCCCTCCTCCACGCCCCTCCTCCTCGCCCCCCCCCCTCCCCGCCTTGCCTCCGTCCCCTCCCCCTGCGCCTCAGTGTCACGCGCTGCCGTTGTCGCCAGACTGGCATCTCCGCCATTTCGCGCTCCACCCTCCCGCATCTTCTTCGTGCAGGACTGAGCTCCCGCCTGGCTGTCACCCCTTCGCAAGCAGCACCTCCCCCCGCTCCGCGAATGGTCCCCCCCGTGTCTTCCCTCCCGATTCCCACCTTCACACACCGCGTGGACCCGCAACCGGAGCGGGCATACCCCTTTCCGAATGACAGTTTCTACGAGGTGGCCGGACGCTTTTACCATGCCCTGCGTGAGCTCCGGCATCTGAACCGTCCGGGGGATCTCCTCCAGCGCGCGGCCCCGGTCGATGGCACCCTTCCGCCGACTCCCACGGCGCCGGTGCCCGACAGCGGTGGTGGCGGCGGCGGCGGTGGACGCCTGCAATTTGACATCGCCTACGAACATTCCCATGCCCCGACATCGGCCGAGCTGGCCCGCGTCCGCCGTGCCGTGCTGGACATCCACTCGCCCGATTACATCCGCTGGCTGGTCGAGGCATCGGAGTACTGCTGCCCGCGCAGCCAGACCAGCGCAGCGCGTGCCCGCCTGGAAGCCCTGGCCTTGCGCAACCCCAGCTCCTCGCAGCTGCTGCACCTGCAGTCAGTGGTGCATGGCCTCGAGCGCCATGGCTCGTCTTCCTCCGATTCCGATGATTCCTACTCCGATGGCGAGGGTGGTCGCTTGCGGGCCGGGTACAGTGGCTTCCGCGACCCGGCCATCGTTGACTCCGATGAGGAGGGCCACACCATCATCGCCGATGTCATGCCCCCGCACCAGAGCCAGCATACCGGGCGCAAGGGCATCCGGCCGCCGCTGCTGGACGAGTCGTTCCCCGATTCGCAGGCCGGCTTTTGGATTTACGATGCGTGGACACCGATTGTGCGTCTTCGTGTTGCTGCTGTGCTTGGGCTTCTGCCATGCTTCGCGAGGGGGGGGGGGGGGCGAGCGAGAGAAAGGGAGAAAGACAAAGAGGCAGGATGGACTTTCCCCCTCCTCGCAGACACACACACACACACATGCACGCACGATTGCAAGAGAGGTCCCATGCAAACTGACATCTGCGTCGGCAAACCGAACTAGACCTCCCTGACTCTGCAAGCGGCGCTCATGTCCTCGCATTGTGCCATGCGCGCGGCAGATACCTTGGTGAAGATGATCGCCGCCGGGTCGGCCTCAGGGCAAGCCGGCGGGCATCTGCCCATCAGCTACTCGCTGGCTCGGCCGCCGGGGCACCATGCCTCTTCCGGTCGTGGTGGCGGCTACTGCTATTTCAACAACACCGCCGTGGCGGTGCGTTACATGCAGGGGCTCCTCGCGGGAACCACCGGCCCCGACACCAAACGCCCCCGTGTGACCATCCTCGACATCGACTACCACCATGGTAATGGCACGCAGGACATCTTCTACGAGGATCCCTCCGTGCAGTATGTGTCCCTGCATGCCTCGCCCTCCTTCGGTGGGGAGCCCTACTTCTCCGGGCACGCCGAGGAGACTGGCGCCGGGCCGGGGGTCGGCTTCACGGTCAACATCCCCCTGGCTCCGCCGATCACCGATCGCCGGTACTTCCGGGCCCTTGCTCGCCGGGCTCTGCCGGCCATCCGGGACTTCGCCCCCGAGGTGGTGGTCGTGTCTCTCGGGTGCGACATCACTCGGGTCGATCCGCTCGCGCACATGGGCGGCATCGGTGACCAAACCCTCGCCCGTGTGGGCCAGGCTGTCCGGTCTCTCGGCCGCCCGGTGCTGGTCATTCACGAGGGCGGCTACAACTCCAAGACAATCGGTCGGGTAGGTGGCGCGCGCGCGATCACACACACACACACACACACACACACACACACACACACACACACACACACACACGCACACGCACGCACGCACGCACATACATATGCAGCTCGCCCAAGGGCCATTCCTCATGACATGCCGATATTCCTCTGACGGACCTGCCTCGTGTGACTGACCTTCGACCGCGCTACCTCCCTCTCCATTTGGCATCACCCTCGATCGCCGCCGCCCATGCCGCAGTCCATCGCGTCCTTCTTTTCCGGCCTTGTGAATGACCTTCCCACCGCAGAGGGGCTCCTGGCACACACCGACAACCCGGTCGAGGATGTGGGCAGCGACGCGGACATCCCACTTGAGGACGTCGGCCACTTTGAGCAGTGCGACACGATCGCCGATGGGTATGTGCCAGCCCAGCGTGATGAGCGTCTGCTCCAGGCGGAGGTCGCCAGCGCTCACACTTGGCAGGATTCCTGGATCACTGGTGACGCGCTGGACGATGTCGACCACTGCCCCTGAGTAGAGGGGGGGAGGCCACAACGAACAAGCAGAGAGAGATGGCTGGGCGGTCGGAACCGGAAAGCCGAAAAAGAAAAAAAAAGAACAAGCGCCCTTCCCCTCCCGGGGGTGGTGACCGCGCCCAATGCATATTTCTTTCCGCGCTCACACTTGCCCAGCCCTCGGTCTGCGCCGAGCCAAATACACTGTCCAACTCCACCGCAGGCAGATGTGTGTTCCTCTTGTGGCCAGCGGGGGCGAGGAGAGGGAGGAAGGCCGGGGGAGGGGGGGGCGAAGTGGCAGCGAACATTATATGTAGCTTTTATATTTGAAAACAAGATGCTAGTATACACTCCTCCGATTGGCGGTCGTGCCAAGCGCTGTATGTTAGGAGGGAACAGAGGGGGGGGGGGTAAAAAAAAAAGGAAACTGCAAGGTCGAGGGTGAGGGGGATTGGCGTGGAGACGAGAGAAGGGGCCCATGCACATGAGTAGCACGGATGATATGTGTACGCGTGTGTGTGTGTGTGTGTCTGTCTGTGCGCATGCTTGCGCACAGCCGGAGAGTGCCACGAGCAAGACAACAAGACAGAGAGAGAGAGAGAGAGAGGGGGGGCACGGAACAAGAGGGCCCACGCTGGCTGCGTGTCGCCAGAACGTTTACTCTGTGTTTCTTCCTCTCCCTCGCGCACACACAGACACACATGCATCCACACAGGCCCACTACCTGCCGGTCTCTCCCGCGCATGTGTCCCACACGGAGACACACACACACACGCACGCGCGCTCCGCTTAACCGGAGCACATGGTGCAGGACTCCGGGTTCTCCAGCGAGCAGAGAAGCTGCATCTCCTGCTCGCGGGTCAGCGTGGGGTAGGCCTCCTCCTGGCCGGCGGCGGCCGCATCGGCGGCAGCCTGCATGTCGCTCTCGACGGCGTCGGCATCGGCCGCGGTGGCCAGCGGCGAAACAGCCGGCGGGGTGATGGTGGTGGCGGAGGAAGTGGCAGACGAATCCTCAGTCAGGCTCATGCGGGCCAGGGTGGCTGCCAGACCGATGGCCGGGGTGGGGAACCCACCGGCCGCGGCCTTGCGCGACTCCGGCGAGAGGCTGGCCGGGTCGGCCGCCGGGGCGGCAGCCGTGATGGTGGCAGTGCCACCGCGCATGCGCGGAGTGTTGGTGACGCTGCCGCCCGGGGTCTTGAGCAGCTGCTGGTCAACCGTGAACTTGATGGCCTCGGCCGCGGGCTTGGTGCGCAGGTAATACATGCCGGTCTTGAGGCCCTTCTTCCAGCCATAGAAGTGCATGGAAGTCAACCGGCTGGCGGTGGGCTCGCCGATGAAGATGTTCAGGCTCTGGCTCTGATCGATGAAGGCACCCCGGTCGGCGGCCATGTCGATGATGGACCGCTGGCTGATCTCCCAGGTGGTCTTGTAGAGGGCCTTCAGGTCATCGGGGATGGAAGGCACCCGCTGGACGGAGCCACCGGCGGCGATGATCATCTGCCGGACATTGTCATTCCACACCCCAATGCGAATGAGGTCCTTGATCAGGTGGGGGTTGACCATCTGGAACTCCCCGGACAGCACACGACGGACATAGATGTTGGAGGTGTAGGGCTCGATGCACTCATTGAAGCCGAGGATCTGCGAGGTGGAGGCCGTCGGCATCGGGGCCACCAGGAGCGAGTTACGCAGGCCATGACGAGCAATGCGCTCCTTCAGGCCGGCCCAATCCCACCGGTCGGAGGGGGTCACACCCCACAGGTCGAACTGGAGCTGGCCGGCCGAAGCCGGGGACCCCTCGTACGAGGCATACGGGCCGACGCGCTCGGCCGTCTGGCAGGACGCCTCGACCGCCGCGAAGTAGATGGTCTCGAAGATGGCCTTGTTGAGGGCACGCGCCTCCGGGCTCTCGAACGGCATGCGCATCATGATGAACAGATCGGCCAGGCCCTGGACACCGATGCCAATCGGCCGGTGACGGAGGTTGGAGTTCCGGGCCTCCTCCACCGGGTAGTAGTTGATGTCGATGATGCGATCCAGGTTCCGGGCCACGACCCCGGTGACGGTGCGCAGCTTCTCAAAGTCATACGACATGGCCCCGGTCTCCGGGCAGGTGTGGATAAACTGCGGCAGGGCAATGGAGGCCAGGTTGCACACGGCCACCTCGTCGTTGCTGGTGTACTGGACGATCTCGGTGCAGAGGTTCGAGCACTTGATGGTACCGAGGTTCTTCTGGTTGGACTTCTGGTTGCAGGCATCCTTGTACATGATGAAGGGGGTGCCGGTCTCCACCTGGGCCTCCATGATCTTGCGCCACAGCAGCTGGGCCTTCATGACCTTGCGGGCACGCCCCTCGGACTCGTAACGCTGGTAGAGGGTCTCGAACTCCTCGCCATAGCACTCGTGCAGGCCCGGGGCCTCGCGCGGGCAGAACAGCGACCAGTCGCCGCCGGACTCCACGCGCTTCATGAAAAGATCCGGCACCCACAGGGCAAAGAAGAGGTCACGGGCACGAGTCTCCTCGGCGCCGGTGTTCTTGCGCAGCTCGATGAAGGACTCCACATCCGCGTGCCAGGGCTCCAGGTAGATGGCAAACGCGCCGGGGCGCTTGTTGCCACCCTGGTCGACGTAACGCGCGGTGGCATTGAACACACGCAGCATCGGGACCAGCCCGTTGGAGTAGCCATTGGTGCCGGCAATGTAGGACCCGGTGGCGCGGATGTTGTGAACATTGAGGCCGATGCCGCCGGCGGTCTTGGAAATGAGGGCGCACTGGCGCAGGGTGTCGTAAATGCCATCAATCGAGTCGTCCTTCATGGTGAGCAGGAAGCAAGACGACAGCTGCGGCCGGGGAGACCCACAGTTGAAGAGGGTCGGCGAGGCATGCGTGAAGTAGCGCTGGGACATGTACTCGTAGGTCTCCAGGGCGGCGGGGATGTCGCTGCCATGGATGCCGACGGCCACGCGCATGATCATGTACTGCGGGCGCTCGACAACCTTGCTGTTGGTCGCGCGCGCCACGGGAGCGACAGGAGCAGGGGGGGGGGAGGGGCGGGGGAGAGGGGGAAATCATGCGTCAGGCTACCAGGCCGGGAGGGGGGGGCAGGGAGAGAGAGAGAGAGAGAGAGGGAGAGAGAAAGGGAGCGAGGAGGGAGGCATCGTCCTCCCCAAGCAGGCAGGTGCATACCCGTTGACGCGCAGGAGGTAGCTGCGCTCGAGGGTCTTGAAGCCGAAGAACTGGTATTCGAAGTCGCGCTCATTGCGAATGGCCGCGTTCAGGACCTCGGCATTGGCCATGACGGTCTGGTGGAAGGCCTCGGACACGAGGGCCATGGAGCGGCCAGTCTGGGCATCGGTGTAGTTGAAAAGCTTGTCGACAGCCTCGGAGAAAGTCTGCACGGCGTTGGGCAAGGAGGAAGGTCAGGGGCAAGGTCCGGCACAGGGCCAGGCACAGGCACAGACGCCGGCCGAGGCGGAGGGGGCAGGAGTGTGCGCGTGTCGGTGGGCGCATGGACGCACGGCCGGGGTCTGCTTGTGCAGGCTGGAGACCGACACACGGGCGGCCAGGAGGGCGAAGTCCGGGTGCTGGGTGGTCTTGTAGGCGGCGGTCTCGGCAATGAGGCTGTCAATGTCGGCGGTGGCCACGCCCTCATACATGCCGCTCTGCACGCGGATGGCGATCTCCTCCGGGTCGACGAAGTTCAGGTCCAGGCCTTGGGAGATGTTCTGGATGCGGGCGATGATCTTCGCCTGGTCAACGGGCACCCGGGTGCCGTTGCGCTTGGTGACCAGCATGGTGGAGCGCGGAGGAGGAGGGGGGTGGGGGGGGGGTGAACTGCATTGTGCGCGGGTGGCGAGGGGAGCCAGAGGCGAGAGGGGGCTTGTTAGGGAAAGAAAAAAAAGACAGACCGGTGGGGGTAGATGGAGGGAGAGAGAGGGACAGCAAGAAAAGAAGAACAACAGAGGCAATGTGTGGTGGGGGAAGGTACAGGATCTACGGGAGGGGGGGGGGGGGGGGGCGGGCTGGGGGAGGGGCGATCGAGCGGGCGGGTGATGCGAGCGCGATACGTGGTAGGGCAGGTGGATGGAGAGGAACGAGCGGCCGTTGGCGGGGCCACCAGGGGGGCGGAAAAAACGACTCACCCCCGGACGAGGGTCGACACCGCCCCGACGCGAGGCCAGCCCCGCACGCACACACACACACACACACAGACACACATACCCGCGCATACACCCTCTGCCGTCCTGGATTTAGAAGGGTCTGTTTTGGCACCCAAATACCGCGCCGGATCGGAGATCCTCTGGGCTCCTCGGCCGCTGAACTTTTGTGGAAGTGATTGCGTATTGCCCCCCCC